GGGGGCCTCTTGGGGCCTCTTAGGGGCCTCGTAGGGGCGTCTTAGGGCCGAGGGCTCGAAATGTTGTTTCGTGTTCCCTCTCTGGGGCCCCGTTGGGGGCGTTCTTGGGGCCCTCTTGGACCGTTTTGGAGGCTTCTTGGGCCGTCTTCGAGCCCTCTTGGGCCATCTTGGGGCCCTCTTGGGGGCCTCTTGGGCCCTCTTGGGGCGATCTTGGGGGCCTCTGGGGCCGTCTTGGGGCGTCGGGAACCGAAAAGGTGGAAGCTCCAAAATCTGTCAAAAACCTAAGGAAAAACAATGAATTTTGCCTCCGGGGGCCCTCTTGGGAGTGCTCTTGGAGGCCTCTTGGGGCGTCTGGGGGCTATCTTGGGCGTCTTGGAGCGATCTTGTGGCATGTCGGACCCCTCGTGTACCATCTTGGGGCCTCTTGGGGGCCTCTTGGCCTTTCTTGGGGCTCTCGGGGACGTCTCGGAGCCCTGTTGGTGCGCTCATGGAGCGCTCCTGGAGCGCTCTGGGGGAGTCTCCCGGGGATCGCTCGGGGTCGGTCGGGGATCGCCCGGGGTACTTTTCGTCCGGGGACCCCCAGGGGCCGCCCCGCGCGCGCTAACTAGAGAATTGTTAACCAGTTACCGGAGATCTTAGCACGCCTCTGGCCCGTTGGGCCGGCGAATGCAACGCTTTCCTCGCGACCGCTCCCCGCGACGCATCCGATGATTGTGCTTGGGTAGAACCACGCGCGCGCTACGCGCGCTTAGGCTCTAGTGTGTGTGACGGCACTCCCGTTTGTTTTCTCACAGTCTTGTGCTTCCTTCTCTTGTCAGGCTGCGTCGAACCTTGCTTCTCCTCTCTCCTTGATCTTGCAGTGTTCAACACGTGTTTGTTGGCTGGGGTCGGACCGATGACATGTTGGTTGGGGTGGGACCGCAGCCATGGTGTTGCGACGGTATTCCTTTCACTTTCTCGCAAGACTCCGCCTCTGTCTATTTCCAGGCTGCGTCGACACCCAAGAGGTCCCCAAGAGGCCTTCAGGAGGCACGACTATGTCACGCGCCTGTGCTTGATAGCACTGTCCAAAGTCTGCCAGCACCCCCCCGGCCTGGGCTAGAACCTGAGCGCGCGCGCGAATCGCGCGATGATTCTATAGTTTCACGTTCATACATACCTGCATGTATATATCTATATATGTATGTGAGTTGTTTGGATCCTCGTTCTCTCTCCATCTCTCTCGGTCTCTCGGTCTCGATTTCTCTCCCCCGTGCCAGTTCAGCTTGATAGTCATGCTGATACGGTTCGAGCAGGTGGACGTATTGCAACAGCTAGAACGCGAGGTCAAGACTTTGGCCAAGCAGAACGAGGCCGTCGGACTCGTCATCCAAAATGTGAATCGTTCCGTTCTCCGTCTGCACTTATGCCATCGTCTTTCTGCTCTTCGTGCTCCTCCCCTTCTTCCCAGTTCTTGACGTTTCGCGTATCCCCACCAGCTGCTCCTTGCGGGCCGCGAATCAAAACAGTATCCCCACCAGCCAATCCAAACATTGTTTTCAGGCGAGTTTCCCTGGCCAGGGAAGCGTAGCATCATGCAGTGGAACACGATGGGGTCAGCCGTTACAGTTGGAAGCACAGAGGAAGGATGACAAAACGGAGGGGGAGGGAGGAGGGGAGGAGGGCAGGAGGAGAGGAAGAGGAGGACGAGCATGTCAGAGGAGGAGGAGTAGGAACAGCAAGAAGAGGATATAGGAGGAAGGCGGAAACGACGACGACGACGACCACCACCACCACCACCACCACGGGCGACGGACGACCGACGACCTACGACCGACGACGGACTACCGACGACCGACGACCGAAGACCGACAATCCACCACCGACGACCGACGGCGACGGCGACGGTTACGACGGCGGCGGCGGCGGCGGCGACGACGACGACGACGAGACGGCGACGTCGGCGACGACGACGGAAGGGACACCATCAAGGTTTTTGGAGGTGCTTCGCCTTGGGAGCCTCTTGGAAACTTCTTGGTTGGGTTCATTGTTAGGTCCTCTTGGGCAATTTCCGATGCTTTTGGAGCCCTCTTGGGCCAGTGCTGGAGGTCCTCAGGGCTCTCTTGGGCTTTCTTGGGGCTCTCTGTTGGGGCCCTCTTGTGGGTCTTGAGGGGCCGTTTGGCGCAATCTTGGAGGCCATCGATCAACGAAGATGTTTTTCAAATTACGACCCCCCCTCTGGATGCGAAAACGTGCCTGTTGCGGCGGTCTTGGGGCGCTACTGGGCGTTCTTGGGCCCGTATTGGGCCCCTCTTCCATCTCTCTTGGGCCACTTTGGGGCCATCTTGAGGCCTCAATAGCCCATCGGAAGCAAACAGGCGAGAAGACGAGCAACAGTCAGTTCCGTCGGGTTTGAAAGATATTGGCCTCTTGGAGCGGTTCTTGGGAGGTTCTGTGGCCACTTAGAGCCACATTGGGACAGTCTTGGGCTTGGTTTCTTGGGGTCACGCCGGAAGCTAGATTCAACCATCTTGGGCTATCTTGTGTGATCTTGGAGGTCATCTTTGGATTTCTGTGGCCCTCTTGGGGCAAGCTTGAGCCATCTTTGGCGCTCTGACTGCTCGCGATTTGGTCCGTCCAGACCCAGGGAGAGGGGGTCGGGGGAGGAGCGAACCTTTCCCCCAAGGCGGCTTTGGCGGCCACGTCGGCCTTTGGCCTGCATTGGTGTCGCCAGCGGTGTCTCGCCTTCGCACGCCCGAGCTTCGGCGGTTGGGGTAAGTGCGCGGCCGCCTGCGAGCCGTGGCGCGCGTTCGGGTCATAGCGATCTGCCGCGGTCGCTCGGGGTGCGCTGGGATCCCTCGCGTCCCTTCCAGGCACCCCTCCTGTGATGACGGACGTTGCCTGGAGGGTTTGCTGCTGCAAGCGCAAGCGGCATGGTTCGTTCGAGCCCGCGCGGCCTGCCGCGGTCGTTGTGGGTACGTGGGGGCCCTCCCGCTTCCCAGCCACGCTCAGCGCCGGTGTTCGCGGACGCTTCCCCGAGAGCCGTAGCACCAAGCGCGGGCCACCTGCGAGCGGCGCGGTTCGGTTGGCATTCGGGGATCCCCCCCGCGCCCTGACACGAGACCGCTCCAGTGCCGGCCGACTCTGTGACTGCGAGTCAGCTGGGTGGGGCGACCCGAAGTGACGGTTGCCGCCGACCTTCCCCGTGTCAAGGGAGGAAAAAGCATTTGGATCTGACAGTTGGCGTTTCCTCAACGGCCCTGGGCGTTCACCAGACAGCCCCGCCCTGTTTGATTCCTTCTTTGGGTGCGTTTACTAAACACCACGCGAAATGGTTAAGAAATCATGGGTTAAGAAATTCATGGTCTCAGAACTTGAATAAAAACCCACAATTCCTATCAAAATCTTAGGATTTACATTGAAACGTGAAGAATCATCGAGACTCTGGCCGAAAACTTAAGTTTTCTTAAGCATCGCCTAAGGTGAACGGCTTCGCGTGTCGGGGTGGTTCTTATCGGGGTGGATGTTCTGCCCTCCTGCCGCGGGCGGCGTCGAGGCGCCACGCGCAGGCGTCCTCTGCCATGTGGTGCGGGCGCGCAGGTGGCGGCCGTGCCTCCGGCGGGCCCTCTGCCATCTGCACCCGGCCGGGAGGAAGGAGGAGGAGGAGGGGGAGGAGGAGGAGGAGGGAGAGGAGGAGGAGGAGGAGGAGGAGGGAAGGAGGAGGGGGGAGGAGGAGGGGGAGGAGGAGGGGGAGGAGGAGGAGGAGGAGGGGGAGGTGGGAGGAGG